ATATATATATATATATATATATATATACATACATATATACATATATATATACATACATATATACATATATACATACATATATACACATATATACATATATATACACACATATATACACATATATATATACATATATATATACACAATATACATATATATATACACACAATATACATATTGCCAAAAGCATTCACTCACCTGCCTTGACTCTATATAAATATATATACACACAACATATATATAACACAAGATAACTTGACTCATTGAGGTTAACATATATATAACACAAGATAACTTGAGGTATACCATAAAAAGGTGGGAAATGTCTCCATACCTGACTCATGTTCAACTGAACCTGCTGCCCAGGCTGGATGGCATATATGCCTTGAGCAGGCAATGTGCCTGAAGGCAATGCACCACCTGGTGGTCTCATCATACGTGGGGTCATGCTCATCACACCGGCAGTAGGCGCATTTCCCATGAAGCCATTTGGCATCGTCATCCCAACCATCATTGTCTGACTGGGTCCCATCATTGTTGCTGTGCTCTGAGCCATCATGGCACCCATGACAGATGTGTGTGGCATGGGCGTGGCCATTCCAGGTAAAGCTTGATAGCCAGTTGAAGCCTGCACAGGAATCTGTATCTGCGATGGGCCCATGAACATGGCAGCTGGGAGAGTAAAAACAGAGAAAGAAAAACCCAAACAAAATGTAAGCCAATTTAATTTTGTGCACGACAAAATAAAATCGAAACGTTGATAAATATAGGCGGTCGCATTAAGTGTCAAAAGAGTATGTTGGGTTGCAGTGATCACGAGGGGGTTCCAAATGTAGACTGCCCTGTCTCTCATCCTGTTAAAATTGACAGTTTAAGTGAAGAAGACAGCGTTACTACCGCATTAAGAAAGGATTGTTCATTACATTAGCAATAGGACTGCTTGATTTATGGAAGAAAAAAATAGGTGAATACTAAAACTATGATCATCTAATCCACACTGAATGAACACTGCATTTATTACACATAACAGCAAATGTGAGATTTATTTGACTCTGTCCACAACTGCGGAAACTAGGTCCTGGTCCATGGACCTACTGGCTACTACTCTAGTTCTCGCCCAAGTAAAATGGTAATAGTTCCGCCAGGAAGGGCATCCAGTGTGACACTTCTGCCAAAACAATCACGTGTTTCATGAAAATGACTTCCATACCGAAACTGTCGCGGCGTGAGTAAAAAAAATGACCACCTTAACCAATAGAGTGCCGGAGGAAATTTGACTTTGACAATGACTGGGTACAGTGAATAACAGGTGCTGCGAAAATCATAATGTTTCGATTATTTCAAGTAAAACAAAAATAGAAACGGGGTTGGAATAAGTTGTACAACATCTGTAATTGAACTGAATTTATAACAGTTTGTTTTTATAGGGCATTTTTAAATATGCTAAGCTTACTAAGTAACCCCAAATACATCATAAATATATATATATATATACAGTATATATACATACATATATATATATATATATATACATACATACATACATATATATATACATACATATATATATATATACACATACATATACATATATATATATATATATATATAC